AGCCTTCAAGGCCTCTATAACAAGTGCCTATCGATGAGCGCAAATTATAAGGTACACCCGGGTGTAACTATACACCCGGTATTTTTCCAATTCTCTTGAACTTTGAGTCTTCTACTCCCATTGCATATTTGTTTCACGTTGAACCTACGCCATCCACATCGCCGTTCAACCTTCACCGGCCATCTGCCATCGCTCCGAGCTTCATCATCACCATCAACCGACGAGCAGAATTCTTCCATTGGTGCAATCTGACCAAGAGCGCATTCCATCTTGATGCAACCTGATTTTTTTTAGTCTCACCTTGGTTGCCCAATCATCGGCACTCTGGCCCGTCAGAATTCAGGCATCTCAGGTCCGTCGTCATGCATCCATCTCCGATGCTGCATAGATTCTAGATGATAATGTTAATACTATGTATAAACTAGATTCTGGTGATATTAACCTGGCAGATCAATCCAACTCTTGTGGCATCGCTCTCACATACCAAATGAGCATAACGCTTAAACGAAATGAGCATAGACAAATGAGGATTTGAGCACATTAGCGATTTCAAATAACATTTTTTATTTTTCGATATTCACTTTGTAAGTTATGTATTTTGATTTTAAAATGTCATATAAATTCATATTTCATAAGTATCACGTGCTCAATATTGGACTCCTAATACTCAACAAAATAATTGTAATGCTCAGTCAAATTTCATTCATGCTCATTTGAAAAAACTGTGATTTTCATCTTAATAGAAGATGTTTGATGAATAATAAAAATGTTGTGACGTTCAATTAACAAACCTTACGATTTTCACATTAATGCGCATTTTGTAAGTTACAAATGCTCATTTGGTACTGATGGTATACTCATTTGTAAAATGTCATATCAATGCATATTCCAAAAGTATCGTATCATATCACATTAAATTCGCATATTGAAATTCATAGGAATTATTTGTACACGTAATTTAGTAAGTTTTATAAAAGAAAACGAAGTGAATTCGAAGATATGAAGCACAGATGGTGATGCTCATTGTTAGGCTCATAATACTCAATACAATAGGTCAGATTCTCACTAAACGTACATCAATGCTCATTTCGCGAAAATCGCGATTTTTCTCTTAAATTTCGAAATGCCACCGTTTCAAAAAATGGACCTTTTGATTATGGGTTGTATTACCTAATGGGCCGTTGTCTTCCTTAATTGGACCGGATGTACGGTGGCGACCTTACACCCAGATGTAGGATATATGGATCCATCAATGAGTGTGCAAGGCACGATACACACAAACAAAAATATAAACATATACATACATACGGGAGGTTTATAGTGAAAACTAATCTCAGTTGTAATCTTTTTTATACTATCTCCTTCCCATTTAATTAATGATTCTCGTTTTTCATTTTTGGACGTCTCACTTAAAGGTTCTTACTTTCTATTTTAGAAAACATTTAACACTCTTAAATAACAACTTAATCATCAAATATTAAAAATAATATGCTACCACCGGTCCCAAATAAGTTTCACATTTTCCTTTGTGCATAGGTCCAAAATAAATTTCACATTTCTACTTTTGGCAAGTTTTAATATAAAGTTACCCTTACATACTTTATTACATGTTTTAGACTCACTTTCTCTTTCACACTACATCAAATATACTTTTGGTAGTTGTCTAATGGGAAAGTCAAAAGCAAAAATTTCACTTTCTTAAAAACCGTAAAGTCAAAGCGTGAAATTTATCTGGATGTGATTAAATATTTATAACATCACAGTTATTACCAATAACTCATTATATTATATACTCATCAAAAATTTTTCCAAAGATACTTGAATTAGTATATTTAATTATTTTTAAAATAATTTTGTTGTTTTGCAATGAGAAACTTTGAATGGAAAGGAGATACTAATTATTACAAATAATTCCACTTATTGATATAACCCACTTATTGATTCTATCCATTACATTTTACTACCTCCGTTCCCATTTTAACTTCCAAATGGGTTTGGCACAAAGTTTAAGATGGTGGATATTGTGTGGTGGAGAGTTGTGCAGAGGAGAGAGAAATGTGTAAGAAATGTTGTGAACCACAAATTCTTTACCAAAAAGGGAAAGTGGAAGTTTTAATTGGAACGGACGAAAAAGGAAAGTTGGAAGTTTATTTAGGAACGGAGGGAGTAACAAACAATTGGTAAGGTGTATACAATTACATCTTTGCACATATAAAAATTTGTTTCGTTATATTTCTTTTTAATACGTCAGTGTACATTTGAAATTTAAATTACTTATGTCAAATGAAATGGTAAGCATGTCCTTATGTTTTTGTTGAATAGAAAACTCATTATTTAGAGTTCATTTAAAAAAGAGATAATTTCCCAAATGGGACTAACTAAAAGTTATATTGCATAAATAGGAGTATTAGTATTAAATTCCCAGAATATGACTAGTTAGTATGTCCATGCCAATTCTACCCTTAGCATATTTTAATATTTAAAAATTCACTTTTTGCTTATTAAAAAAATCATAAAAATAAAAACAAAAATGTTGGCATCATTGATGGCGACAGGGATAAAAATGCCAGTTTTTTTCTGGAATGCCAAATTGAACCAAGGTCATATTAATGGCATTTTCAAACTAAAATATGGAATGTTTGAAGAGTAATAATGCAATTTTAATGGCATTTTGAGAATACAATTTGACATTTTTAAATAAACACAGAAGCAACCCAACATCTGAGGCTGTTCTGTTATTTCACGAAGGCATCATCATTGTTGAAACCTCTGGAGCTGTCACCGTGTGGCTATCGACTGGCAGTCTGGCACTCATTCTGCTAGTAACATATCTCTACCGGAAGAGGCTAAATCTGCCACCAGGGCCAAAATCATGGCCGATCATCGGAAACAAAAGAGGGAGAACCTGAGAAGAGGAGGGCCGACCACTGCAACTTCGACGTCTTTGCCGTTGTGAAACATGGATGTAGTGTTTGAGTTTCAATCTTGTGCTTGATACAAAGATAGCAGGGGTAAAAATGGCAGATAAATAAAATATACTCCTATTTGAGATTAAAAAGAACCATACTCCTATTTTAGTAAACGGGGTAAATTTTACTCCTATTCGTAACCATTTTCCTTTTAAAAATTGTGCTTATAATGTGATCAATTGTTTGTGAAATGTGTGTAAAAATATAAAACTGGTAGTGTAAATTTGCTCCCTAATACTACCACCATCCCTAAGTTAAAATCCTAGTTTGACTTTACATGTATTAAGAAAATGAATTCACCAAGGGATAAATTTTACTGTAAAGTAGACTGTTTGACACTGTTTTGCAACGGTTGTTACTATTTTATATCATATTTTTTTACGAAATAAGGAAGTAAGACTTTAATTTAAGGATATACCGAAAGGGAAAGTAAGACTTTAATTAGGGATTGAGAGAGTAATATTTTTGATACACCACTGATGAGCTTAATTATAACCATTTTATTACTTTGTTAATAAAATTTTATGGGTAAAATTCCCGAAATAAGATAAACAAGTTTTTAAAATTTCAAAATAGTACTGTTATATTTTTCCTTTTGAAATAATTGGCGTATTATTTCTTAGACACTAAAGAACAGCTAGCAATGTTATCTTGGAATTCCGAAGCCTATTTACTAGTAGTTATCGAAATTTTTCAAACATACTCCCTCCGGTTCTTAATTAACTTTATACTTTTCATTTTGGACCGTCCCATATTAAACTTTACACTTCCTTGTTTGCCTTATTTGGTAAACAAATCTACAACAAACAGTGCAAAATAGTGTCAAACAATGCCAAACAGTGTCAAACAGTGTCAAACAGTGTACTCTACAGTAAAATCAAATTTATTTTCTTAATATTTGTGAAGTTAAAGTGTAAACTTCGTTAAGAACCGGAGGGAGTACTTATTTGGATTTCCATAACTTATACTCCGAAATACGAAGTATTCCTGATTCGGACAGCACCTTTCATATTGAAATTTCAATTCGATAATTCCATATACAGCCAAAGAAATTATGAAAACGATTGACTATGAATCTATGATATTTATTTAATAGATATGTGCCTACACGGATTTAGAATCAATCAACTATTTTTTCTGGATTTGGGTTCGCACTCATACGGATTGCAATAAAGTTCTGATTTCTTAGACAAACACATGGACACGAAAAATAGAATCCCTAATTTAGGAAACAATCATTTAGGCTATCTCCAACACTGTACACCATTTTTTACACTAAAATGGTGTAAACATCACATCATACATTATTTTATCTCCAACTGTTTACACCATTTTCAACACAAAAAAAGAATATTACTTTTTTTTAACTAAGTTTTTATCATTCTTCTATTTAGGTATCTAATTATCATATATTTATACATTAGCCCCTCATTTAATATTTTGACATTTCACACATTATTTCACACATACAAACTAAAATACACCATTTTAATATGTATTTTCATGCAATTAACTAATTAAAATACAATAATCAATATTTCACAAATACAAGCTAAAACCACATAAAATTAAATATTACAATAATATTATAATAATGTGTACGTCATTAATAAAGTACTACTTAAACTTAAAGCAATACATTAAATAAATATTCTTAGTTTAGTTATCGGAGTTTGAGATAAAAAAAAATAAATAAATAAAAATGGTGTAATGGTGTTGAAAATGGAGTGGCTGTTGGAGCATTTTTTTGACAAATCCACCATTTTGGTGTGATATATGGTGCTTGTTGGAGATGGTCTTAGAGTAGCCATGATTTAAGTGCTCGTTTGGTAGCCATGATTTTTGGCTTTTCAGGTTTATAAACTAACTTTTTCACCAAACACGTAAATTTTGATTTTACGACATAAATTGTGTAATAATAAGAAAAAGTAAGGTTGATGTTACTTTTATGGCTATTGCCTGAAGTTATTGTAGAGGGACATTTTAGCTATTTTTCATATAATTTATTCTTTATTTTATTAATGAAATGTATTTTAAATTATTATTTTTCACAAATCAGCAGAATCAGCCAATACAGCTACATCAACCAGAATTTAATAAATTTCAACAGAATCAGCCAATACAGCAAACCATTTGGCTGTTTCCAAACAGGCTCTAAATAAAGAAAGTCGTGATTTTAGAAATTTAAACGGAAAAACCAAGGAAGAACAAACGCTAAAACCAGACAGCCCATCAAGAAGTTACAGAACGACTGCCGTTCCCGGCAATCTCTTGACCTCTCGTCGGGATTTCTTCCATCGCTCCACTCTTCCATGAAATTCGCGTTCCCCACGCGAGTAACGTTTTTCGCAATTTCCCCACATATCTCGCAAAATCTGGAATACAATAACTCTTTTAAATCAACCCAACCAAACAAATACTTCGTACTTGATTTTTTCTATGAGCTTTGATAATTTCATTTAAATTAAAAAATATGCAGATAAAAAAATACTACCCCCATACCAAATTTATCTTTTAAAGCACGAATGTCACGTGAATTAAGATACTGGATATTGCGTGATATATAAAATTATGCAGAAGAGAGAAAAATATGTAAGAATGTGTAAGAAGTATTGTGAATTACCGATTCTTTGTCAAAGAAAAAAGGGGTTTAATACACCAAACCCATCCCTCGTGATATGATAATTCGGCGCATTAGCTTCTTATGATTTAAAAAATGTGTCAAACCTCCTTGTATTTTATATAATTATGCACAAAATCCTTTCTATGAACAAATTCAATTTTCATAAAAAATTGATTAACATTTTTGTATGATTTAGAGATTTTGACATATTTACTTGCATATTCAATCAGAATATTAGGAAAAGTGATTTCAAAATCATTAAAATTATTCATAAAAGGGGTTTTGTGCATGATTAATTAAAATACAAGGACGTTCGATGCATTTTTCAAATCACAGGGAGCTAATGCACTGAATTTATATATCATGGTAGGGTTAGGTGCATTAAACCCAAGAAAAAAGGAAAATAAGTTTGGAATGGACAAAAAGAAAAAGTGGAAGATAATTCTTGGACACATGGAGTATTCATTTCTAGTCTGCCAAAATCTTAATACAATTTTTTTACTTTATTACTCTTTAACTTTGATCAAGTTTTACGAGAAGAAAATTTATACTTGCTGAATATAGACATTTTCAAGTGAAAATTTCAGCCATAAATGTTTTTTTACTTGAAATCGATAGTGAGGATGTTTTATTTGGAACGGAATTTTCTAATTTGTTAGTTCTGATTTGGTTTGGTGGATGTTTGGTCTGTGTGCAATTTATGATTGTCGAAATATGGTTTGATTTGGTCTGATCCAGTCTCATTTACTTTAATCTGGAATTGAAATAAGTCCAAGCAAAAACTTGATAAAACCGATAGCCTGAATTTGAAAATGGTCGTTCTAAAATATTAAATACCCACTTGGTGCGTCTTAAATGTTCTTCAATCCTAGTTTGCTTGATGAACACAATTTCATGTTATTGTTTATTTTGGATATCGATTTATATTCAGTTTTAGGATTTGTTTGGTAGTCTTGTTCTAAATATAATATGTGACTTTTTATTACGATTACTAACGATCAATTTAAACGTGTTATTATTTTTGTAAAGAAATGGCGATACTATTTGAGAGGAGGGGAGTATAAAGTAACAATTGCATAAACAAAAGAAATATAGCATTTGAAAATAGAAGTTGAATTTATTATATAGTCCGTCTACATACAGATTATGTTGGCAGAAATATGAGTGATTTTGGAACAAAAAGAAATACCGGTTTCCTCTGAGCTTAAACCATGCCTCAGCACACCGCAAATGGGCGAAACGGAGGTCTCCTTTACAGCCACAGCCAAGCTCAATCAAATCCATCACATTCTTCTTCGTCTTAATCGACTCTTCTTCTCTTTCATTCAACTGGCATATTCTGCAACACGCCTTTTTCCCGACTTCATCGCCACAGTCCACATCAATACAGCACGAAAATCTCTCTTCCTCCATCTTCGCCGCTTCTCCGGCGGCGGAGGCGGCCATAGAACTCTCTCCATTCCCTTCCGATCGTCGTATCACAATGACTGTTTCTGGACCGTCGGTGTTCGATTCCTGACCAGCACCGGCCATCTAATTCGATTAAGATCTGAGAATTCAAAATTCCAGATCAGTTACAGACAGAACAGGATTTTTTCAGGTTTAGTCTCTGACTTTTTGGAGTTTTGTTAACAGTCGCCATTTTATAGAAGACCAACATTAAAGACGGAAGAAGCTTTCGTGCAAATTCTGAAAGAGCAGGTAAACGTAAATCCATGGCCAATCGTCGATCGCCGCCGCACACATTATTATATACACTTCGTTATATGTATGGTAGGCCCAGTGATTTAGTCGTGACGGCCCGCATTATGTGGCAATTCTGTGTATGCTACCGTTTTGGGGTTTTGTCAATTATTATATTCTTGTTGGAGTATAGATTTATGTTCCATTATAATCATGAAAAATTATAAATATATTCCAAAATAAATTTAATAGTACGAGTATGTCTTTTAGTGTCCACTGGGTGTGTATTTGTGTACTAATACTGATATTCATCCATTTTTAATGTTTTGTGATTATACATAGTGCTTGATCAAGTCCTTTTTAGTACTGTAATTTTATCTCTAAGAAAAGCTCATCAACCAATCATTTCCTTATCTATTTTAAATTAGGTGCTTGGCAAGTTGGCATGCTATTAGTGGTTCGAAATTTTCCTTAAATATTACTCCATACTCTTACTTTGTGATATATTCTTTCCATTAAATGGAACATGAGTTGGGCCGTTTATTTATCAAGTAAAACAAGTTTGTACCGTTGATATTGAATTTATAGTAAAAATGATTTGAAACACACAAAATTATATACACTTCCTTCGTAGGACTAAAACCGTTTGTATATTCCAAAATAGGAATATTATATTTTTATTCCCAAAATAAGACTAATTATTGTCATGTTTTGGTAGTACATGACTTTAAACATGACAGTATTTTCAAAACTTGGCAGTAATTACTCCTATTTTGGGAATAAAGAACATGGTAGTCCTATTTTATAATTTTCAAACTTTTTACTCATATTTCGAGAATTTTCCCTTGTAACAAACTTGATATGGGACAATTTAATGGGAAAGGTCGATAAGAAAATGTAGGGTCATCTTAGCGGAATGGATGAAGTACATACTACCTATTTCTTGGCATAAGGCTCCTAATTTCTTATCGTAAAACAATTATTTAGATAATCATTAAATATGATATTTCATGTTTATTTTGAAAAATAATTTAATGAGTATATATAATATAATAATTAATGAGGTCATTGATGATAACGGTGATATAATAGATGTATTATTTTCAATGGTAATAATCAAATTTACATTGAAAAGGCTAATTATTTTCTAGAATAGAATTTGGGAGCCTTTAACTTCGACGTCCAAAAAAAAGAAAAATAAGAATCTTGACTTGAGACAGAGGGAGTAATATACTAGGGAGTATTGTTTTAACATACTCCATAGTATACTATATTGAAAAGCATATATGATTAAAAGACCAATTATTTTTATACATGGGTAAAAATATGACAAATATAACTTATCTAAAAGACCAATTATTTTTATATATAAGTAAAACAATGACTAACAATGCAATGAAGCCAGAGAACGGTGAATCTCACTATTTGTTTATTATGTCACTTTCAATTTATTTTTGGAAAAATTGAAAATAATAATCCAAACTATTGCCGGTCCGCTAACAATAATTCCAACTATTGATTATTTTTGTATAATCCCAATTATATGGACCGTCCGCCAATAATGGTCCATGACCGCATATTACCTGTCTAACAAATGAATTTTTAATAGAAATTAAACGTAAAAATTAAAATTTGGGATTATTTATAGGGATTACCTGCTATATTTCTTTAGAAACTATAGAAATTTATTTATAGTCGGTCACGCCGGACCATTATTGGCGGAAGGTCCCTAAAGTTGGGATTATTCTGAAATCATCGATAGCTGGGATTATTATGAGCGGAACGCCAACAGTTGAGATTATTACAATCAATTTTTCCTTTATTTTATTACTAGCTATGTGTCACCATTCGCCGCCACGAGTGTCATTACTGCCCTTGGAATATGTAATTATGACTTCAGAAAAAATTCCGTTGAATTTTCAAATATATATCTGAAAAACTTCTTTGAAGTTTTTCGGGGACTTTTATAGCAGTGTGTTAAAATCTGGGGTTTCATCCTAAAATATCAACATGTTATGAGGAGTAATTCAGACCTTAATACAACACTTTATTATTTCTTAATTTACTGGTGTGAAATTTAACACAGTGGTCACCAGATGGGAGAAGTTTCAAATTATTAATAGAGAATAGTCACATTCAAAAGAATAGTCAGATTTTTTTCAAAAATGTAGAGGTAACATTTATGACGTTATTTCTTATAATGTTTCAAAAATCATATGCTACATTACTACATCCTTAAGAATTAAGATCCCAATAAAGACTAGACAGTTCAAAAAATGTAGAGGTAACGTAACATTTATGACGTTATTTCTTATAATGTCATCCCGTTGAGTTATATATCTAATTTTTATTGTAATTGGATTTAAAAAATATTTTAACTACTGTTTTTAATGTAATGCGTGTATGTATATGTGTACGTAATATATGTAATATACAGTAGTTTGAGCATTTTAAGATAATAAATATCATAAATCAAAACTAAAACTTTTAGCGCGTGGTTGGATGGAAACGACACATGGAAAGTGATGCGAACTTGCGAAGTACTATTATTACCAGCTTATACCATTTCCCGTGTGTGAAATGAAAGAATGGGTATAAGGCCTACCTACCTAATTAGTGTTTGTTTGGTACCACAATCAGCACATATGGGGACAAAAAAGCATTTGATATTCTGGCAAAAAATATCGAAGTAAAAAAAATATAGAGACTGGGTAATATCGAAGTGTCTACGTATCAGAATAAAAGATATATTACTGGTACATATCCGGGGATGGATTTAAGTGACGCGATCGTTCTTTGAACTTTCAAAATTTTCAAAATTTTCTACTATATATATGTATATAATATTTTCATAAAATTTTCAGACTTTAATTAGACTCGCCACCCTTAAATTTCTGTTTCAAAATTAATATATGTAGTCTTACACAATTCATTTACTTCTTACTTTTAATAACAATCTATTACATAGATAATAAATTTTAACTTATTTTAGCATTACTACAGATATAATATGCAACACACACAGACACACACATATATAGGGGTGAGTTCAGAGTTCTAATACAAAGAGGTCTTCCCATGAAAAGTGAGAAGTGATTTAAGCCCTTGATCACTTCAAAATGAATGGAGTGGATCAAAACTTACAGTAAACCAAAATGTGTAATACATAATAGTAAAAGTGCATATGTCATATCTAAGAGTTATATTCACCTCTTAAGAAAATAACACAAACGATTTATATACTTGTTGCTTTCCACCACGAAAAGTGATGCACTTTTGTGTTACTCCAATGCACTTTTTCTTCATCGTCATGCACATTTATCATTCACTATTGGCACCAAATTTTTTAATATTACACTATTGACACCGACTTTTCCACTTTCAAATTGATCTGATTCATTCATTTTCTCATTTTAACGGCTAAGATTACTTCTCATTATATATACTCCCTCCATCCCGTTAAGTTTGTCACACTTTCCCGTAACGGATGTCCGAAAATGTTTGTCTTACTTTTTCAACTTCCTTATTTGGTAAACAAATCTATATCAAACAGTGTCAAACAATGCAAAACAGTGCCAAACAGTGTCACTACAGTGTAAAGTCAAATTCATCTCCTTAAAACTTGTGAAGTCAAACAATGACAAATCTATATATTAGAGATCAAATACAAATTATGCTTAATTTACTAACCTACAGATTCATATTGACCATCCGATGAGTTGATCTAAAGGCAATAAAGGCAAGGTGGCATTTTTGCAACAAAAGCAACTTTTTTAGGATGCAACTTCTTGAACGTTAATATGCAACTTCTATTTTATGCCTTGAATAATATGCAACATTTTGAACTTTAATATGCAATATAGATAATATAAAGATGCATTGTACAAACATTTGCACGATAAGCACAGTTTGCACATGATCCTCCATATATATATATATATATATATATATATGAATTACCAATATAATATTATTCTAGAAATAATAATCTCATACATTCCAGCCGAGCTGGTTGCGAGATTACCGTGCCTAGTGAGAGGTTTCGAGTTCGAAACCTGCTAGGACATAAAGGGTTTGAAACTCAATGGAGTGAGTTTCAGCCCTGATTACTCCAGGCCCCCCAGCCCCCCTCCCTCAGACCCCCTGGAGTAAAAAAAAAAATAATCTCGATCATACATAATATTGTATTATAAAGAAAACTCATCTTTACTCACAAACACCCTCCTTGGTACACAAAAATTGCTATTCAAAAACCAATTCCTTATTCCGATAAGATTCATGTGGTTAAAAAATGTAGAAGTTATTTAAAAAGTATTGATGGATGGGTATCTATTAAACTTTTTATCTTCAATAATTGGATAAAATGTTATATATTATTTTTTATTTTCAAATTAGTTTTCTTTGATTGCCATTTCTTACGCTTTAATGCATCAATACCTGTTTTCTAGAGAACTTCAATTATAATATCGAAGTTATTTTGCCACAATCTAAATTTAGAAATTAGAAGTTGTGTTAATAATATGGAGTAAACCAAAAGTCACAAATAGCGCCACACACACACACACACACACACACATATATATATATATGAGATCAAATACAAACTATGCTTAAAATACTATCCTACGTACAAACTCAATAATATGCATCACTTTGAACTTCAATATGAAGTAAAAATAATATAAAGATGCAGGGGTGAAATTACATACAAACTAGTTCTCTCATTCAAATTATCTTTACATTATTTGTATTGCATATTGAAGTTCAAATTGTATCATATTATTCAAGCCATAAAATAGCAGTTTCATATTTACATTATTTGTATTGCATATATATTGAAATTCAAAGAGTGCATCTTTACATTATTTGTACTGCATATTGAAGTTCAAAGTGTTGCATATTATTGAGTTTGTAGGTTAGTAAGTTAAGCATGGTTTGTATGTGATCTCACCCCCCTATATATATAGGGGTGAGATCACACACACACACACACACACACACATATATATATATATATATTATATTATATATATATATATTATATATATTATATATATATAAGGGGTGAGATCACACACACACACACACACACACACACATATATATATATATATATATATACATATATATATTGTTTT